ATATACCCTGTGCCTGACTGCACTTGCATGAGTAGGCACTTAACTGAGCTGGCCAGCAGGCCCCCTTTAAAAGTTGTTTGTTTGTTATATTTTAGAGAAGGGTCTACAGGGTGTACAAGGCCTCACTACTAGATTGCACTCATAGTGATCCTGTTTACAGCCTCCCAAGAGTTGGGATTACAGGCACGCCTGGGGATCAAACCCCTGGCCCCTGCGCCTGCTTACATGAGCTTTAATCTGCTGAGCTATTTAGCCAGCCCTGTTTTAAAATGGTTAATTTTATTTTATATATATTTTCTACAATTAAAAAATGGACAGTAAACCCTGAAAATATATTGAGGCAAAGAAGGTTGTCAAAAGCAATCTTCCTGCCTCAGCCTCCAGAGTGCTGAGTTTATAGGTGTGTGCCACCAGGCCTGGATTATTATTGGTTTTTTTGAGGCAGAGTTCTGCTGTGTAGTCCAAGCTTGCCTTGAACTTACCATGTAGCTCATTCTGGCCTCAAATAATGATTCTTCTGCCTCCACCTCCAAAGCCTAGGATTAGAGACATGTGCTGTTTAGCTGGGTTTGGTGGTGCATACCTTTAATGCCCGTACACTGGGAAACCAAAGCACTAGGACCCTAAGTTTGAGCCCAGCCTAGGCAACTTAGCCACTTAGGGAGACCTTATCTCAAAATAAAAAATGAAAAGGAGCCACGGTTATAGCTCAGCGCAAAAGCACTGGGTTCAGTTACCAGTACCACACACATATACACAAAAACTGACATGATTCCATTTATATGAAATGTCTACAATACTGAAATCAGTGCATAGGGAAGTAGATGGTGGTTTCCTAGGACTACGCTTGCTGCAGGGAAATGAAGAGTGAGTGCTGCTGGGGATGAGTTTCTCCACGTGGTGTTGTATGACTTCGTGTATATATTAAAGCCACTGACTTGTACACGTTAGGTGAATTGGGTGGTATGTTAATTATATTTTAATAAAGCTGTTAAAAATATAGCTGACTTGGCTTTTGCAAATTTTAAAACATGCTAAGAGCTTCAGAACCTACACAGATTAAATTTTAAAACAAAATTGATTGCAAGTTAAGGTTCATAATGGTGACGCTGAGGATAATACAAAATCATTAAATGCTTTCTGGGTCATTAAAAATAAATGACATCTGCTTAATACACTGAAGTTGATGATCTGATTGTGTTCTGATGATGATCTGATTTTTAAAAACCTCTGATGATGATTTTCTGAATTTTAAAAAATTGTCCCCTGAGGAGTGGAATGAAGGACTCGTTTAACTGCAGCACTGGTATGAACAGGTCATTTTCCTAGTGATGGCAACTAATTCTAAGTCAGTTGAAAACTCACTTGTAGGATAAATTTTCTTTCTTTCGTGTGTGTGGCCAGCTCAGCCCACCAGGGGGCGGGGCTGGCTGGCATGTGGTGCTGGGGGATTGAACCGCAGTCCCTGTGTTTTGCTAAGCTTGTTCTAAGTAGGTGCTTTAGATCACTGAGCCATCTCACCAGCCCCGAAATTTACTTTCTGTGTGTGTGTCTTGAGACAGTCTATGCAATTCAGGCTGGCCCAGAGCTCACTTTATAGCCCATTCTGGTCTCGAACGCACAATGATCCTCCTGCCTCAGCCTCGCAAGAACTAGGAATATAGGTGTGCACCACTACGCCCAGCAAGAAGTTCACTTTCAAATTAATTTTCCCTACTTATCCAGAGTAACTTTCTGCCATGTCTCCCCCACCTCTTGAGTAAATTATCTTTCATTAAAAAAA